TTGACATAATTCAAGGGTTGGAAGATTTGGGTTTCTTCTGTAGGGTTCCGGGTGCGTCAGAAATTACTCATTGTATCACAAATTCGGTTATTGCTCGAGAGATTGTTGAGTATGTGGAGTCGGCTGAGGAAAATCCCGTTTGCTCAGCCAGTGCCTCATTTTCCCGTGGTGAGAACTAGGGGGGGATGCCGAGTTTTGTGGAAATGGGTGAAACACCTGCATTCAATCATATACCAGCTTGGTTGCCGGCCTTTCCTGATCCTCACACGTATATACACACACCGTATGGAATGAGAGGGTTACAGATCCTCGGGCTGACAAAGTTGAACTAGCAAGGCAGCGGAGGAAGGCCGAGAGGTCTTTGTTGAGTTTGCAGCAGCGGTTGGTTTGTGATGGTTCAGCAGTAGCTTAACATTCAACAGAACCAGTTGATGGCAGGCATGGATTAGAATTTGATGTAAATGATAGTCCATTTCTTTCGGAGCATGCCCAAGCACGACAGAAAGATGTTTCACCTGTTGTTTTGCCAGCTAAGTTTTCGGACAACGGCAATATGGGAAACCACATTCCTCTGTTGGAAACCTTTGCGCCTGCCATCGAAGCATTGAAAGGCAATATTCATGAGTCTGGAGATGGCGACAACATTCTTCCAGACAAAAGACCGGCTGTTTTTTTGGAGTTCAAAGCTGGGAAAAAAATCTTAGGTGAACCGTTGGATTTGAGCCTCCTGAAAACAGGTCTTGGGAAGACAGCAACTGTGCTTGGGCGGGACGATGAGAAAGATGACAGGAAGAGAAGAGCTGAGTATATTCTTCGACAATCCATGGAAAACCCACAGGAGCTCACTCAGTTGTAAATGAATTCATAGAACGGCTTGCTTGATGCAGGCCATCATACTCGGTTCAGAATGGTAGCAGTTGAATAGGCAGTTTAAAAGTTTTCTGGTTACTATAGTCATGCAGTGATTTGATGATAGTCCTTTTCAGAGTCCCTCTTAATCTCAGCTTAAACAATTTCTGAAGGTATGTTAATGGATGGATGTTTCAACATTTCTGTGACTGTATTCTGCTGGGAATTTTTTCCCTCAGATAAAATTGTTGCTTTTCTCCAGCCATCGAGTATATCATGGGGGGGGGGGGGGGGGGGGTGTTGTGGGGGATTGATTCTCTGATTTTGATCATGAACTTCCTTCTCATGTGTGGGTGAAACAAAAATTAATGTATGCACAAGCTTTTGCATTGCGACTAGACAAGGTAAATTATAGATTATTTCTCCTGCAGAAGAGTAGTCAATTAAGGGTTGGATGAATTATATTGTTAAAACTCCAAGTATGAGAAATTTTTCTATACAAAGGGAGGAAATCCAGCTATGAAAAAACTAGGTTTTTCTTGTGCAGCAAGCATGAACAAACATGAACAAAAAAATCAGAATTTGAGTGACCAACATATATTGAAGAGGATTTGAATGCTGACATGTAGATTGAACAAATTTATGTGCTCTAGATACCTCTGCAAGTTCCTAAAACAATTCTAACTGAGAGCAATCAGCCTATGTTAATTCTGAAAAGGGAAAAGTGATAAAGAATGACAACCACATCATTATTATTAAGCCCTGAAGTCAATTGAGCAGTGCCATCAAAGGACCATGCAAATCCATTGTATACATGTATTTCATTTTACAAAAGGACTCAGTTGGGGCTTAATTTAGGCCAATTGTTTCTCCTCTTTCTTATTAATTGTGGTAAATTTCTAGATGGACTGATATTTTCTTGTGTGATCGAAATTTAGAGCTAAGTTTCAACAAGCTTTTGACTGTTTGTATAAAAGACATTTCTTGTTTGGCTTTTTTTTTTTTTTTTTTTTTTAAAAATTTAGTTGTTTGCATTGCATTATCTATATTTGAAAGAGTTCATATATCAATGCCAAACCCAAGAAGGATAACATTCTATCCTAGTAGCATATAACATTTGATTTATTTTCTTCTCTTGCTGCTGCTTCCAGTAGCTTGACAAACAGAGGATACGAAAGATGGCTGAATGCAACCATGAACTTCTTTGGTTTCAACATTGGCCCCTGGAAGCTCTGGAAAAAGAAGTCCTTCTGGATTTCCTTTAATGCTGCAGTTTCTGGTATCGAGACTGAGAAAGTAAAGGAAACTCTTATGCACCTGGTTCACTGGATGCTGATACTTAAACCCTAACAATGGGGTTACTCTTTCTGCATTTTATTCTAAACTCAACAATCTATGGAGTATGCTTAACACTTTTCTCTCGCAGCTTTTTTTTTTAACCCATCAGAGCCAATGAGTGTTCGTTTTGATTTTTTAAGAAACTTCTATTGGCTATGAATTGGTGAAGGTGACGAGAACTGGACGCTTTTCTCTATTGGGCGTATGTAGCGTCTAGCTGTCTGTCTTATTTAATGTTCAACATCTGATGAATCTAAAAAAATTCACCCCACTTGGTTTTCCCCTTGAAGAAACATCTTGAGGGGAACATAGCGATTACTCACATGAAGGGGCTTGTGATTGAAAGAGAAGTTCCAATATTTTCAGTTTTTTCCACTTTCTTCTCCTCCTGTCTGAATCGTAAATTAGGTACCCCACATCAAAAACTAACTCCAAGCAATGACCACAATTCAATTGAGCCAATTCGAATGTCTGGTTACTGGTCTGTGAATCACTACTTGTCAGCTGTCAGAACTATATGGGGAACAGCTAGAGAAGTTTGCTGTTGTATCTATGTCTACAAATGGTCAAGCTATACTGCCACCAGTTACCGGGGGAGGTGTCAACCACAGGAAGTTTGGCTGCAGCATTAGAGACGAAGAGGAACTTACGAGATTTTATTATAGAATTGTCTCCCATAATATGCCGGATCTTGCCAGTTGGCCCTTACTTACCTGATCTGCAGCATGAAACATAAGGAAATGCAAAGAAAACCTTCCTACGATTCATAGTTTCTGGAGATGGCATAGTGGATATTAACTTCGTAAATGTTACGATATTTCATAGACCAAAAAACAACTGATGATCACTATTCTCCATTTAAATTCGACAAGCATCTGCCTAGCTTCTTGTACGTGACAGAATACCAACAAATTACATTTTGATTATCCATTAGGGGGGAAAAGTAGAACATCTTGCAAGTTCAAAAATACTAGTCGACATTGTGTCTACAGTGACTTCAGCTTCATATTAATTTCTGAAGGAAATGCTCTTCCACGATGATTGAACATCATGAAATCCATATTGTCGGATAAAGCAACCACCCTGCATTCCAGAAAACATGACACCTGGTCTAAGTTATCCAAAACATTTATTGTAGCAATTGAAATATTACATCATGTCAGGCCAAATTTATAATACCCTATACAACAGGAAGGACAGACACAAAAAAAACAAAATGATGGCTGAGAACGAGGTACTGTAAATAACTCATTAGGGCAAAGCACATACAAATAATAGTTGTCTACGCAGAAAAATGTGAGCAGATGTAAGTTAATTGTTGTAGGTCCAATTTGACCCTTTTCCTGTCCTAAAGTTCCGGGTTGGACTGCCAAGGTACATAATCATTTTGGCTTTTTGATTATACTTCGCTTGCTTGCACGTGGTAGAACTAAGGGCCATAGTTAAGCATACCAAGAAAAGGGCTAAAAAATAACCCACTTGAGCAATTTGACAATGAAGTAAAGAGATGGTGGATTACACAGGAGATGCAGGACCTCCCTTAACCGCTAGTGCATTACCCTAGCTTGACAGCAGAACACATAAATGTGTACCTACGAGTATATATCTATTCTTTCTTGGTTGCTCCTACAATAATAAAGAAAATAGAGGGGCCCCATCTGGAGAATTCTTTGAAGTATGTCTGACAATGTTTTCGTCAAGTTACCAATTAAGCCAGAATGAAGCTAATAGACGTAACTTCTTAAGGGCTAAGTAAACCTAGTACATAACAAGGAAGAATGGAAAAGTAGCCTACGTGGCTACAATGAGCTTACAAGTACCCTTACAAGATACTGCTCATTAGAGTATCTCCAACTCTTACTCTTTTTAAACCCAAATTTAAATTTGGGTTAAAAATCTTTAAAAACCTTCTTCAATACTATACTCAAACTCATATCAAATCAAAGGATACTCAAACTTTTACTCCTTGAAAAATATAATGGTCATATTTTATCCTCCTTTAAATTTGGGTTTGTCCTCTTTTACCTTTGAATTTCTCCGTTTGAGTGTTTTGTATTAAATCAAATGTTGACTCAAATTTGAGTCAAGATTAGAGATGCTCTTAGTAAATTAATGACAAGCATATTGATCACATATCTTCAAGAAACCAGCTCTTCAACCTCCCCCCCCCCCCCCCCCCCCTTCACCTTTTTTTCCCCTCTCCCTCTTGAGACATAATGGCCTTCTTTTCCTACATAGTATCAGTTTGTTCACTTTGGTTATACAAAGGAAGACTAGGTACTTCATCCTGTTATTTCACTACCAATAGAGTATCAAACAAATAAGAAGAAAAAGAAGAAGAAAATGACAGTAAATAAGAAAAGTTATTTCCATTCATGATAACTATGGAAAGCTTTTGCAATTATGGGGCTTCAGCGCATTGAACCAATATGCGTAACACTCCAGAAACTTGTCCAGTCTTTAACAGTAACCTGAGGAATTCGGAAAAGGCCGAACCAGAAACTATTGCAGGAAAAAAAAAAGGTTGAGCCCAGGAAGTCATTGATTGTATTAATGAAGAAGTTGATAATCCCTCTAAGATTAGGCTGATGCTATCAATGACATGAAGGAGTTGTCTTAAGTATATATAAATTGAACAAATCAACCACAAACAAAAAATAAAGGATGTTTTTCTTTCTCTTGGGTTAGAAAACTACAAATAGCAAAGAATGGAGAATGACTCCTATTCACAATAGCTTTGTCTATACAGCTAACTTATTTCATTCCTCTCTATACTGCCATTTCAGCAAATAACTGAGAAGCTCAGGAAACTTTCAGGATATTTTATGTAAAATAATTCGATGAGCAATCCAAGTATCATACAAATGGATTAGAGCCCCAATTGCTCTACTCTAGAGAGGGAGGGATTTATAGGTGGCACCTCATTGTCAAATAAATCAGACCTCAATCTATGGCGCTCCAAAGATTTGCCACCAACGTAATGCTATCAAGGTGCTTCTATAATATCTATTATTCGGTCTTATGATCATCCTTATTCTTGGAACTTGGAACTTCGGATTTCGTTGATATCTTAATGATAGGGCCATCAGAGGAGTTGATTTCATTGTTTGCTATTTTCTGTTGTCTCAAGATTCCGTTGATAAGAAAAAGTGGGTATGTGAGTCTTCAGGTGTCTTCTCATGTAAGTTTTTTTCGAGAATCTCATTGATGATTCCTCTTGTTATTTATTTTTGCCCTCGATCATGATTTGGAAGGCTAAGGTGCTTATTAAAATGCAAGCTTTTTGCTTGTACACGGTAAGATTAATACCAACGATATGCTTTAGAAAATAAGACCTCAAACTTGTCTTTCTCCTCAATGGTGTATAATATGTAAAAGTGATTGTGAGAGCATTGACCATTTTTTTTTCTACTGTTCTTTGGGAGGATTGAATTGGATACTTCCAGCAATATCCACATCATGGTTTGTTGAATCCTGAAAGGTTTTAGGCAAAGTGATAAAGGTTTGGTTTTACAGAATTGTGCTATTATGGCTGGAGAGCTTCATTTGATTTATGAGCTTCTAATGTATTTATTTTTGTTTGTCTTTGTTTCTTTTGGTTGGACTTCTTGGCCAACCCTCCTTCATGTACTCTTTGATTTTCCGATATTAATGCAATCTTTTCTTTCT